TAGGAAGTTCATCTTTGTGAAACAGTTCAATAGTCATTTAATTATTGTTTTAAGTAACAATAGTCACAAATTGCAAGGATGCCACTGAACACACTCAATTCAATAAGGGAACTTAGTTACATGAATGTCGAGGGTTTCACAATTTGGATTTCATCTTGAGTGCAATACCACAAAACTCCTTGGCAAGTGTGTAGAAGACTGAATGACCAGAGAATGAATCATGAAATGCTGTGATATCTGAATGAACAAACAAATGCAGTATAATAAGAGAAAACAATCTAAAACCTGAAATCAAAAGACAGAACAGTCCTTTAAATGTCATCCTGGGCCACTTTCAACAATTCTACTCAATAATTACTTAATTTTCTAGAAGAACACACTTGCCATTTTGTTTTGCTTTTTACTAGTTGATTACTTTCAATATAGTGAAGATTCATGTTGACTTACAAATGCTTGTCCAGTTGAAAGTGCATAACTCTCACATTTATTAGGACAATAACTAATTCTGTATCTACCTAAACATTTTTTCTTCCTGTGATCTGACATTTTTTATTCATGAAACCAAGATAAACACCTTCAAGGAGGGTAGTTATGAGGATTATTTTTTCCCTTTTTTAAATTTATTCTTTCTTTTTAAAAAGACTATTTATTTATTTATTTTTGTGTAGAAGAACTGGGGTATAGGCCAGAGGTGAGGCAGTTGAGCGGATTGACCAGAGACAGAGAGGGGAGTATGCAGATTTCCTGAAATACACTATTAAGGGGAGCAGCAGGCGAGACAGCAGAGGTCTGCTGCACCATAGGTGGGTTACTTCCCTGGCTGAGGATCAAACTCAGGCCCTAGTGGTGATCGCTCTGAGACTTAACCCCTAGGCTACCAGGGAGGCTCTGTTGTGAGGATTAGTTGATGTACATTAGGGTTAGAACCATGAGAGCTCATGGTGTTAGTTATATTGTTGTTAAGACTTTTTTTTTTTTTTTAAGCTGGTAGGCATAACTACCAGCCTAAAATAGGAAGAACATAAACTCCTAGGAACACCATCCAGCCTCTCTAGGAGGAGCCAACCTAACTATGGCATTACTGACTAGAAATTATTTAGCATCTGACCATGAACTTGTTTAGGACACTGTATGGAGAAGTCCAGTTAAGTCAAGCTACTCTTTGAAATCTCCATTTAGAACTCAGAGTATCCTAGAGTTTAAACCATGTGATATAGTTTGTCCTTTTAGGTACAGTTAATGTCTTTCGTTTTTGAAATAAAATGGAAGTTTTAAAGGAATATATGTAGAAAAGGAATGTTCATTAGACACAGCTATATTTCTGTTAGGCTGTTTCAGTGGACAGACAGGACACAAACTTATGGTAAGATTTTGAATGTAAATAAAAAATAAATGATAGTTTTCTCCTTTTGCTCTGTATCCAACCAATATATACAACATCCAACCAAATATAACTTTATATCCTACTATTTATATACAAACATGCATATGTATTTTATATTGTATATATACATAGGCAAAACAAATAATATCAGTGTTATCACTAATGATATTAGCTACTAATTAATCTTATGGTGATTTGTATTATCCACATAAAGACTATATGAGTAAGGTGTGTGCCTACTTTTACCAACTAAGTACCAGGATTCTAGTACAGTGCCAGGTGCATAGTAGGTGGTTAATAAATATTAATGGAGGATTTTATATTAATTATTTCACCCAATCTATTGACTTGCCACACTTCAGAATCACATGGAAAGCTTGCATTTATTCACCTTATTGATAAACTTAACTTTCTTTCTCAACAAAACCATAGAACTTGGTAACTTTCAAATTATTGATCCCACTATATAATAGGAAATGTGAAATCTTGTGAAATGTAGTATAATACAAATAATAATTATGCAAATAAAAATCACAAATCAATCTCACTGTTAATGGATATACAAAATTATAAATTAAAATGTTCACAAATTATAAAACAGAATCAATAAGACAACAATGAATTGAAAGTTATTCTAAAATGCCAAGATGGATGAGCATCGAATAAGTTACTGATGTGATTGGCATCTAAAGGGATTCTGCTACCAATTTCCAATGTGTGGAAGGGGAATTTCCTCATACATGCAACAATTTCTGACACCATTTGGATGTGCTATACAATTCAACTCAATTCTGACACCATTTACCCAGAGATAACATTGGGTTTCACAGATTGAAAGCTCAGTCCTACAAGGCTGATCCCATCTCCCACTCAGGTGCTAGTCACAGTCCGAGGTAAGTGTTACCTGTGCTTCTTATCAATTGGCTAGAACCTCCAAGGATTCCCTTCTTGGAGTTCAGATGCCAATCTCAAGTCTATACTGGTTCCCAATCAGACCCAAGTTTCCCATGATACCATCCTTGGGTCTGGTTAATTTGCTAGAATGACTCACAGAAATCAGAGAAATGTTTGATATACTAAATTATCAGTATATTGGAAAAAACATAACTCAGAAACAGATGGAAGAGATGCATAGGTCAAGGTATGGGTAAAGGTCATGGAACTCCCATGCTCTCCCCAAATGTAATGCACCATCTTTGCAAATCTCCATGTGCTATCTGACCTGGAATGTCTATGAACCCTGTCTTTTCAGAAGCTTCATGAACTTCCATTACGTAGGCATGATTGACTGAATCATTGGCCATTGGTGAATGGTTCAAATTCAGTCCCTTAACCACCCAAGAGGAGGTCAAGAATGAAACTGAAATCTCCAACCTTCTAATCACCTTGATGGTTCTTCTGGCAACCACATCCCAAACCTAGGTGTGGCCCCGAAGTGACCTCACCAACATAATAATGCTGCTGTTATCTCTTAGGAAATACCAAAGCTTTGAGGAGTTCTGTGTGAGATATGAGGATGAAGTCCAAATGTATATTTTCTATTATAAATCACAATATTACAGCTTCTCCCATTAATGGGAAAATGTAGTCAACAATTATTAATTAATATGACCTCAGCTCTGTGTGCTTCTTGAATTTGCATAGACTTTTTTTCTCAACTTGAAAAAACATTTATTATATTCACTATATGTTCATGTACAATATTAGCTATGTACAGTCTTTAAAAATATATGAATATATATGCACATACACACACAATATAAAAGTTGACAGCCAAATCTGATTAAAAATATATTTGTCTAGATATGATATATTTGTTAAAGTTAAGAGTGCTCTCTCTTGTATCACACTTTATAAAGATAAGCACCAAACATTTAACTATAGTTATTTTAGTTTATAGGATTATGCATTGTTTATATTCTCTTATTTTGACTTAATAGTATTTCTTTTTTAATAGGAAAGCATGTTATTATAAAAATTAGATCACCTGTACTGTGGTGTAATAGGAAGGTTTGGAAATTCCACTGTGCTAAGCAAAACTGAAAGGAACAACTAAACTAAAAACTGCTCAGGGGAATTTTTAAAAGTTCATTTCCAAAGATGGGGACTTTCCCATGGTGACACCACACTCAGGTTAGTGGCTTGATGTGAAGACAAGGCAATTTTTTTTTTAAAGATTTATTTATTTTTTATACAGGAACCAGGGGACAGGCCAGATGCGAGGGAGGGTGAGAGGATTCACTGGAGACAGAGCGGGGAACAGAACAGGCAGACTGACTGAAATACACTGCTGAGGGGAGCAGCGGGTGAGTCAGGAGAGGTCTACTGTGCCATGTGGGATTCTCGGGATCTAACCTACGCTGCAGAGGCTGTGGACAGCTTCACAGTGCTGCGCTCAACCACCTGTACCACCAGGGAGGCCCCGTGGACAAGGGAAATTTTTGAGAAAATATCTAGGTAGGTTTTATTCATGCTTTTGGGGCCTCCCTGGTGGGGTAAGGGACTAAAACGCAGACTATGAAGTTAGCCACTGCAGCATGAGTTTGATTCCCAGCTACCCACATGGTGCAACAGACCTCTGCTGACTCTCCCACTGTTCCCCTCAGCAGTGTATTTCAGTCACTCTGCCTGTTCTGTTCCCTGCTCTGTCTTTGGTGAATCTTCTGACCACCTCCCACATCTCTCACCTCTCGTCTGTACCCCAGTCTTGTATGAAAAATAAATCTTAAAAACAACAACAACATGTTTTTTTTTTTTTTTAAACTTTATTTATTTATTTATTTATTTATACAAGCACTGGGTACAGTCAGAAGCACAGGAGGGTGAGAGAATTCACCAGAGCCAGAGTGGGGAACAGAACAGGCAGAGTGACGAAATACACTGCTGAGGGGAGCAGTGGACGCGGCAGGAGAGGTCTGTTGCGCCATGTGGGACCCTCGCCCGCGGCCAGGGATCGAACCGGCGCCGCAGAGGCTGCAGGCAGCTTCGCAGCCCAGTGCTCAACCGCTGCGCCACCAGGGGAGGCCCAACAACAACATGTTTTATAGCTATGTTAAAAACAAAATATAAAAATAAATGGGCCTCCCTTGTGGTGCAGGCAGTTGAGCACAGCACTGTGAAGCTGTCCACAGTCTCTACAGGGTGGGTTCAATCCTGGCCAGCCAGGGCGATACCCATATGGCACGGCAGACCTCTGCTGTCTCACCTGCTGCTCCCCTCAGCAGCGTATTTCAGTCAGTCTGCCTGTTCTGTTCCTCACTCTGTCTCTGGTGAATCCTCTCACCTTCCCCTGCATCCGGCCTGTACCCTGGTTCTTGTATAAATAAATAAATCTTTAAAAAAAAAAGTAAATGTTTTTTAAACTCATTTTCATAAATGCTTCTTATGAAAATCAATAAAAAATACTGTGGATGATACAACACAAATCAGCCTATCTGAATATCCATTATGTATTAGGAAAAGATGTTTCACTATACTGAAATCCTCCTTTTCCCATTCTTCTTCTTCACAATGTTCTCGGACATGCGGCCACTCTGCAGAGGTGCTTGTTTTTTGCCATTTACCCAACATGTGCCTATTTGACCTGTGGCTTTAGAATTTCAGTCTCTCTACTCACCAACTCTTCGGTTGAGTTGAGCTGGGCTGTGAGTACCAGTGAGGTCTGAGGAACTAGAAAAAGCCATTGGAGACAGCACAGATGCCAATGGGTCATCACAGTTGTCTGAAATGATAGGAGAGAGAACAAAGTCCATCAGCAAGAGATATTCCATAAAGAAAGGAATCACGGCATTAGCCACCATCATTCATGTACTAGTGAGTGATAGCTCTGAATGAGGTGAGCACTGCTTTTTTCCATGGGCTATTTCATCTACCTCTACAACAAACCTGAAAGGCAGTTACAGATTTCTTTCACAGTTGAAGAAACTGAAGTTCAGAGAGGTGGCATTGTTTGTCCAAGGTCACACCACCAGAAAATTGTGTGACCAGAATTCTCAGATTTGTTTAGCTCCAGAGCCCAACTACTCATCCATTCTTTTGTCAACCACTTGAATAAAGCTCCAAGTTACTGCTATTGAGCTTATTTTATAAGGAAAGAGACTATAAAAAGGGCTAAAGATGTTTATTCTCCCATTTTTAGTCCCTAAGTTTCTTATAATAGTTGTGCCTAACAAAATAGAATAATTTAGCAAGTCTCACTCCTGGGTAAGGGAAAGATTTTGGAAAATGAGTTACTAATTCTAGCAATTCATTTCTATTCCACAAAATAACAGAATATTCCCTGATTATGTAACATCTTGAATAGGACATTTCAGGACCTACCCTTTCAACCTTCCCTAAATGTGCTAAATATATTTCCTAAGGCTTCCTTGATGCTGTACAAATGTGGACAAGATGGGGTAAAGGGCATAGAGGCTTGTCTTGATAACAACCCCCCTCCTCCAGATTGACACGGATGCTCTTTTCATTCGATCTCATGTAGAAGACCCTACTCTTCACATCACATGTGGATCACCTCAGTGTCCAGAAATCAATCGTTCCCTTATTTGTTTTCAACTTTCATCAGTAGTGAGGTCTTTGTGAACCCTTAGCAAACAATCTTACATAATAAACCTTCAGGAAAGATTTGTGAGAGAAAGGGATGGTGGGAAGAGGATGGAAGGAAAGAGGGTTGGAAGAACCCAAGGGATCAATTAGTCCACTAACAGTACCAACAATGTCCCCTCTATTTTTCTACAATTGTACATCATTGATTTACAGAAATAACTTAAAAAAATCTAGACATACATCATCAAAACAAAATTGAAATATGCCATTCAGTTGAAGATAAACTTCATGTAGAAAACACCTTCAGGAAAAGCTGGTTTGCTTTTTTTTTTTAAAGGAAATCCACATTGGATTATGAGGTTGCTTGTTTATACATTGAATTCTTAGAGAACATCATTTCATCCAATTGAAAGAAAATTAATGAGAAACATACGGATTAAAGTTGTGTTTGTGAAATGTGTTAAAAATCAACTGGCAAAGTGTCTTCAGAGTTTTTCCCAAACACAAATGTTTGAAAAATATTTTGAGGTATTTGACAAACACAAAACAGAGCCAGATCTTGAGTGAAGAAGAATAACATAAAATCACACAAAGACACCTTTGCAGTAATGGTCATTCAATGAACAGAAAGCAGAGTTCAGGCTACCTTACTCCTGGCATCGGATGCAGTTGAGAGAGGTGCACACACACACAGACACACACCTTTAAGAACTTGTTTAGCATCAAAATGTGTTATGCTATTTATAGATCAGGAAGCAATTTGAACTTAATGTTAACCTTATATGTATCCATGCCTGTTTATTTATCAGGAAGCATCAGGTGAATGCAGAAAATCAAAGTGGAAGTATACATCACACACACACACACACACACACACACACACACCCCAAATACCACATAGTCTCACAATTGGCAGCTATGTTCAAGGCTCACCTAGCCACATCTGCAGCTATGACTGTCCTTTGATTTCAAGTAACAGCACTTCCCATTAATACAACCCTTCTGACACCCACTTCTGCAGGCAATGTAAAGATCTTTTGAGATCTTTATAAGGTAAGGTGATATACAGTAGATAGCATATGTGTAATTTTTCAATATATAACACACTGTCACTTTTAAGTTGTGATTTTTTATGTTTCACTGATTTTTTGAAGTGCTGTGTTTTAGCCCTATCTTATTCCTAAGCAAAAATAGAAGTCATCTAATCATTTCAATTTAATTCAGTTCAATAACTATTTATAAGGTCTTATTTTATGCTCAACATTGAATAGGCATTGGGGATAAAATTGAGTCTTAGATCTTAAGGGGCTCAGAGACAATTGAGAGATATAAAAATGAAGCAAATAATTAAACCAATGGAATATTCAGGAGAGTTTCACCAAGGTCACATTCAAGCATGTAAAATGGCAACCAACCGTATAGCAGTTCAGGCAAAGGATAGTTCCTACTCTCCAGCCCGAGGCAGCTCCTCCTTCACAGGCACTGGCCTCAGGGAGAAGGAGGCTTCCAAAGCCCACTGGCCAGGTGATGCCAGCTAATATATCCTTTTTCAAAATTGTCTTTTCTCGCACAGGTTTTCTGCACTTTCCTAAAGTAAAGTGTTCTATGACATTATGAAATTTTATAAGTTGAAGTGGAACAAAGAAGCAATTACCATTAATTTATGTGGAAATGTTTTAAACAATGTCAGACTCAAGAAATAACCCACATCACATCAAATAGCACATAAAACCAAAAATAACCCCAGCATAGAGTAATCAGGAGCGCTGTGATACATACACAGTCTGCAAAACTCAGAGGGTGACGGCTAGCTTCATTATGATTATTTATATTATTCTTTGTAACTTTTGATTTGATGGATTTTTTTTGTAAAAGGAAGGTCATGTTTGATTTTGTGCATAACAGAAAAACATAGAATTATTTATAATTTTCAAAATGCTTTAAAACTCATCTGTATTTTTCTTGTCTTCTTTATTTCTTCCTTCAACTCTCTCCTACCGGAAACCGAAACAAACAAACAAACAGTAAAGGACACAGAAAAAAGTAAGAAAAAAAGCAAAGAAATGTATCTGTTTCTTGTTTCTTTGTTGATATTTGTATGAGTTTCCAAGTCAAGTGTGGTATTTTATATTTTTAATCTCATACAGTGGGGAAAATGTGTTCCTCAATATGTATGTACAATTAAATACCACAGGTCCTCTTCCATGTTAATTAAAAGGTAAAGACACAGAAGAGACTTCTAGTAAATATTATATTTACACAGCTTTTTAGAAATGATCATTGACTCTTGAAGATGATTCTACTTTAAGTAACATTTCTTCTTGTTGCCAACCTACATTTTATTTATTATTATTAAAATACCAATAGAGTTACAGATGGTCCTAAAGTTAAATTGTGACCATCGTCTTGATTATCACAGTAAATTGTCAGTATATGGGGATTTGGAGCTTAAAAAATTCACTTGTATTTATAGGTGAGATAAAATTCCTCTTAGCGTTGCACGCTTAATGGCCTACTTTGTTTAAAAGTCATAAAACATGCATTTTGTGTAGTGCCTACAATGGTGCTTAGAAGTGACAACACACGCTTTTAGCTTCATTTATTTGTCCCCTTGTTACCTATAATTTCACTTAGCAAATAACAAAAATAAATTCTCTAATATTTCTTTTGAATCTGACTCTGCTCCTGTTTTCCCCAATGAAAGACTTAACAATGAATTACTTCATAATGAGCAGACTAAGGAATATGACTCTGTAAAATGAGTCATGAAAAGAAGGTTAACCCTGCTTTATCCTGACATCCATCTTCAACATACCACAGTGCTTACTTTTTCATGACCTTCTGGATACACACTGTTGTGCCCTTTGTAGTCAAAGACAGAATGAACTTGAGGACACAGATTCTGTGTTCAAGAAGCAAAGCATCTCCTTTGGATTGAAGGAAGATCCATCTTATATTTATAAACAACTACATGCAAAGATCTTTGATTTAGGATTCAGAGGTGCTGGTCCTGTTCTACCTTCATTCATTTATCCTTCATATGTTAAAGATGCCTCAATTTAAATGGCAGTGTTTCTTGTTCACTCTTCGGATCAACAAACATTGAGAACAGTATAGGCACTAGAGTTCCTAGAAGGCTTTAAAGAGAGTAACAGCATTTATAATAAACCCTTTCTCATGGTGGAGATAGACACGCCACCCTCAAGAACACAGTGGTGATTGGTAAAGCGTAGGTGGGGTGAAGCAGTCTCCGGGGACATTCAGAAGAGTTTCTCACCCAATCAGGCGATTAATAAAAGGGCTCTGGATTTCTTTCTATGAGCTTTTAGAACAATTCTATTCAAGATTTTAGGGAAGAATTGATTTGGAATCACTGATTTTCACTTACAAGTGCCTCCAAAAGACCCCATCATAGTGAAACCTGATAAGCACAATAACAAGATCTCATAGGAAACCAGCATCACTGGATGGCTGTGATGTGACTCCTCATTACAGTGGTCAGATTATGGGGGGGGTCATCATGCTCACTGTATGGATGAAGAATCTATAAGTTTCTTTGTCCATTTTACACTCTAGTCAGTGCTTAAACTGGACTTTGAACCTAGGTTTGTACAACTATTTGCCCAACCTCTGTCAGAAAATCAGCTTCTAATTCCTGAAACAATAGCAGGAATGCATCGTAGGTGGGTAAAGGCCAGCCTTCTGTCTGACAATCTTCTGTGAGCTCAATTATTTTAACTGGGTTTTCATGGATATACATGTATGTCCATGTGTGTGTGTGTGTGTTCCACAGTTAGCCCAAACCCAATGGTTTCAAAAACAAATGCTCCTAAATTGATTCATTTCAGATTACTGTACTTTCCCTGATAGTGACTCTGAAAGATTTTTTTTTTTTTTAATTCTTAGTTTAGGAATATTGTGTTTGCCATCAGCTACTTTTTTTCCTTTCTTATCCTTGAAACTTATTTATTTATTTAAAAGATTTATTTAGTTATTTATACAAGCACTGGGTACAGTCAGAAGCGCGGGAGGGTGAGAGAATACACCAGAGCCAGAGCGGGGAACAGAACAAGCAGACTGACGAAGTACACTGCTGAGGGGAGCAAGTGGGCACAGCAGGAGAGGTCTGCATGCCATGTGGGACCCTTGCCGGTGGCCAGGGATCGAACTGGCGCT